TACAGAACAATCAGACTGTTATTTAGCACCTTAAATAACAATGTTAAACACTGCAGGCAAGTCTATATTTAAAACAAAAGTTAATTTCACCTGGTTCTAGGTGTGTGAAATCCAATTTATTTCTGTAGGAAATTGTGTCCTCATTTTTTGAAGAGCAGCAGTAACACAAAGCTGCCATTATAAGATTTGAAAGAGCACGTCCTGTTAACTGAATTCAGTAAAATGAATTCAGAAAAATTCAGTAAAAAATAGCAGTCTTCAGTCTTAAACAACAACAACAGCAAAAGTTATGCATCACTAGTGGACAAAGTAATGTTGTTAAGACCCTGGTCACATCCGATGTATTCACACATTGATCTTATGGCAGGGATGGCTCTCCAGAGCAGCCCTAAGCAGGTCTGGCTGACCTGAATTTGGCCCTGCTGCCACATGCAAGCTCTGAAGTGCCACTGAAGCACTGGCTATGTGAAACCTTACTGGTAGGACAACCTGACCTGCAGTCTCAGCTCAGTGTGAGGTGCCCTGGTGGAGCTGGGCCGTGGCAGTACAGCCTCAAGGCTGCAGCAATGGGCAGCTTTGCTGGTCAGGCGCTAACGCAGACAACCTGACCACCAGTGGACTTGGGGGCACAGTTTTGCTCAGGTCAGTTGCTATGGCTCTTTTGTGTGCTTGCCGTCTTGCAGGACTGTGGGATTCAGCTGCTTTCCCTGCAATTTGTTTCCTGTGGCTCAGGTTGCCCTACAGCTGAACAGAGTAGCTGAGAGCAAAGGATCTGTCTCTGCTGGGAGCTAGTCTGTATCCCTGACCAGAACACTCATGCAGAAGACAACGGAGAAGGGAAAGTGAAGGAAAGATGTGATGGAGATTGAACCAGAGGGGCAAAGAGAGCAACGTAGAAACAAGAGGTTCTCCTGTATGTCCTGTTCCTATTTATCTCTTTCCCTAAGACTTATCACAGATCCCTTGACACTGGAAGTAAGCTGTGATAATACGGAATCACAGAACAATTGAGGCTGGAAGGGACCAAGTTCTCTAAGTTAATCTGCTACTGCAATGTGTAATGCCTCTGGCTCACGGTTGCTTTGACAAGCAGCTGTGGACCTCAACCTTTTGTTCTGTGTTGTTTTGCTTCTCCAGAGGGGTACAACAGATGCTTAGACACCAGCTGGCTAAGGAACAAATTCTTTCATGTTGTTGGAGTCCCAAGGGTACACAGGAGACAGTTTCTGACAATCTTAAGTGCTAGCTTTGCTTTTGTTCCTCATTTAGAGAAATAAGGCAGAACACATGAAGAGGTTTTTTTCTGAAAGTCCTTTGCTTTTCAACCACAAATTACAGAATTCACTGTACCTTTCTTTTCCCTGAGGCATAGCAAACCTTCAGGCTGAGCCAAGTAAGGATGCTTATTTTCAGCTACCTAGGGTAATTGGTCTCTAAAAACATATGGCATTTCAACTTTAGCAATGACATAATTGTCATTCAGCTGCAATAATGTTCACTTAATTAAATGCATCCTGTGGGGAGAAAAAAAAAAGTGTTAATATGTTAAATAAAAAGTAGAGCATTCATATTAGAAGTTCAAATTCAGATTTGGATACTGCACAGTTTCAATTACCTTATCCATATATAGAATGTTGCAGTCATTATCTACATGACAGTGTGGGGGTTTTTTCACTGGGCCACTGCCTCTATCTAGAGATCTGCTCTAAGAACTGGTGAGGGTTTTAGACATTAAGGTGTGGGACATTTCTAGCTGAAGTTTGAATTGAAACATGCAGGTTACTAGTTTGGAGAGAGAAAGTAGAGCAGGGGAGTCCATCAGCTGGACAAGAAAACACAGGAGCCCAGTGGAAACATATGACAGAACTGTAGCATCAGAATTGTAGAATATGCTGAGTGGAACACCAGTCTGATGGTACCCCATTCACTGTAACTCTTTGTGCCTGATCTGTGAGCCACTTGCTCACCCATCACATAACACGGTGATCCAACTGTGTGCTGGATCTTTTGTCCAGAGGAATACTGTGAGACACATCACAGCTTTGCTGTGATATTTTCTCATCTCCTTCATGAGATATAAAGAACTTTGCTGAAGTCCAAAAAGATTACATATAATGGCGTTTCTAGATCAACGAGGTGGCCTACCCTGTCGTAAAAGGAAATCAGGTTTGACAAGCAGGATTTAAGCTGTGCTGGCTGTGACTGATTACTGCATTGTGCTGTAGGTGCTTTTCAATACTTTCCAGAATAATATGTTTCATGATTTTACTGGCCACTGAAGTGAGACTGACAGGCCTGTGGTTTTTGGGATCCTCCTTCTTGCCCTTCTTGAAAATTAGGACAATGTTCACCAACTTCCAGTCAGATGGGACCTCTCTGGATTCTCAAGACTGCTCAAAAATCATCAAGAGAGGTTTTGGAATGACATCAGCTAGCTCCTTGAGGATTCCTGGATGAATCCCTTAAGGCCCCGTAGCTTTTTAGGGATCCAGCTGGAGCAGCAGATCCCATAAAATTTCAGAGCTGACTGGAGCTGATCATTCTCTCAGTCATAGTCCTCCAGCTCAGGGCACTGAGATCCCCTTGTTCCATCATCCATGCAGAAGACTAGAGGCAAAGAATGCATTAAATACTTCTGCCTTCTCCATGTCCCTCCTCATCCTCTAACAGGCTGATTTTATTTCTACTCTGCCTATTGCCATTAATATATTCAAATAAACCCTTTTCTTATTTCCCCCTACACTTTTGGCTAACTTCTACTTCAGCTGAGCTTTGGCCACACCAATTTTCTCCCTACAGTGGCAAGCAGCATCTCGGTATTCTTCCCATGTCACCTGAAATTTCTTCCACTGGCCTTCCTTTTTGTCTCACTTCTAAAAAAGATTCCTGTTTAGCCAAGCCAGCCTTCTGCCTCACACGTTTGACTTGTAACATCCAGCAATTGCCTGCTCCTGCGTCCTTAGGAGCTGATGTTTATATGTGATGCTTCCTTTTGTTACCATGTTAATTTCTCTTGCTCTGCTGTTGAAACACCTTATGTCTGGTCTTTCAGAAGGGAGTTATGCTTATCCCATTGTTTTGGAAAGGCATGAGATACCACTGGGCAACCTTTGGGTTAATTAAGTTTTTGCTGTGCAATTATAATTTTATTTCCTGAGAAATTGCATGAGAGTAATATAATGAGGAATTAGCTGTTACAGGCATAAGACCTTACTGAAATAACAAACAAATTGCATGATCATCACGGTAAACTCTTTTGAATGGCCGTTCCTGTTCAGGTTCAGGGAGGTGGAAAGCAGTGCAAAGCTATTAAAGCAGAATCAGCTGGGGGAAGAAGACAACCACTTCGACCATCTGTATTAATATACTGTCTAAGTTTCAAATGCTTTTGCGAGGATGGTTGTTGTACACATGGAACAGAGAATTTTCTTCATTTTGCTTGTTCAGATCTTTTGCATTTTTGTGATTACTTACAGGATCATGGAATTATTCTTGAATTTTAAAGAAGTGTATATGTGATACTGGTCTTTCCACCTTCGAGAGATTGAAACACCTTCAAATACCAGATTCTGAGATCTGCTTTTTCAAGAGGTTTTATGTTGTAATTCTGGTTTGGCTCTTGATTTTTTTAAACTCCCTATGCTTATCTCACTATATGTGTCTGTGTGACAGTGAGGGTGGCCAACTCCATAATTTTTGAAGTGACTGCAAGTAAAGCCTTTTCATGTTGCAAAAATTCTCACACCCACCTCTACTGACTCCTTCCCAGCAATTAATTCTGCCAGAATGTTCTCCCCACATAGATTTGTCTTCATCCTTCAATCTTACCGCTGCTGCTTTTTGAGAGTTTTTCACCCTCGCTCTCCCAAAACAGTGGGTGCGGTTGTAACTTTCCACTTCTCCTTTATGTGTTCCTCCTGCCCCAGAAAGCGCTTCAGGGGAAGGAAGAGTGAAAAACAAGCAGCTTTTCTTCCATCCAGCCAGCTGAGAGGAACAGGGGGCAGGAAAGCTCAAGTCTCATCCCTTTAAAAAAACTGAGGAATCTAAGAGGTGCAAATATATGGACAGGGCTTTGGAGCTGTACGTGCTACAGGTTTTTCTGCGTTGTTACACTCGTGGAGGAGGACCCATCTCTTCTTTTCCTGGACAGAAAAATCAGTGGCATAGAATTTAGGTGCTAAATATAAGTTAGTTCACAGTCCATGTAGTTTTGGTCTATATCATCCTAGTGTACTTGCCTTCTCTTCCACCTGATTAATGGTCAGCCCTCTATTCTATGTCTGTCATTTATGACAATTTATGACCACTTATGTCAGCTCCAGTTTTTTACCTTTCGCAGTAGCATAGTACTCCCAAGTCCCTCTTGTTTCTAACATTACTCCAATCACCAGGAGACACCCGTGGGACATTCAGGCCCATTAGCATCTGTGTTGCTCTGTTCTCTTCCTCTCCTGGGAGCGTTTTGGCAGCCTCCATGAGTTTAAGGATGTGACAAAGCAACAACAGAGGCTGGAGGGTAGATCAGAGAGGGCAGAGACCGACTTAACCTGTGGGGAGGGACATTCAGGGAAGCAATGGGCTGGGGATGCAGAACTGCCTGTAAATGCTGTGCATGACAGATATGTAACTTTATTGTGTTAGATGTCCAGCATCTTTCCAATCCCTGCTTTGGTAGGAATTAAACAAATCCTTCGGAACATGGTAAGCTGGGGAAAAATGTGTCATGCTTCTTTCTAACTTGAATGCTCGTCTTGACAAAAAACGACGTATGGCTTCTAAAAAGGGGATTCCACCTCCGGAAAAGGCACCCAGTGAAACAGTCCTGCAAGAGCCCTCCGCCCGTGGGAGCAATTCCAAAGCAATCTCCAAATGTCTCTCCCTCCGGCGCCGGGAGGTGCTGCCACACACCCTGGGGACGGCAGCGGCGTCCCCGCTGGAGCCGGGCAGGGCCGGGGCGGCCGGGGGCGGGCCGGGAGCGGCACACGCCGCGCTCTCCGCCCCACGGCCGCCGGCGGGAGCGGCACCTGCGGCGGCACCGCGCCCCTCCGGGCGGCGAGGGCTCCCGGCCCCACGCGGGCGGAGGCCGGGGCAGGTGGCCCGACCCCGGGGGCATCTCCCGGCGCCGGTGCGGAGGGGCGCGGGGCAGGGGCAGCTTTCCCGGTAGCCCGCGAAGGCATCTCCCGCTGCCGCCGCCGCCGCCCTGGGGCGCTTACTCTGTGCGGGCGGCCGCTGCCCTCCCCGGCGAGGAGGAGCGCGCCTGCCGCCCCCGCCTCCGGGGGAGCCGGGCAAGGCATGTGCGTGCGGGGTGGCGCCTTCCGGAGGCGCACCAAGCCCCGGGCGGGCTGCGCGGCGACCGCGGCATCCCGGCGCACCGTGCCCATGCCGCCGCCGCGGCTCCTCCTCTCCGCCTCCCGCGCGGGAGCGCGCCCCGCTCCACTCCCCGGCCGCCTCCTGCAGCAGCGGCGGCGGCGGCTCTGAGGGAGTTGCGCGGGCTCTGCCCGATGTGGCAAGAAGCGATGATGATGAGGAGGAGACGCCGCTACCTGCTAGAGCGGGCAGAGCAGGCGGGCGGCGGCTGCGGGGCGAGCGGCGAACAGTCCCGCTCCCGGGACTGGCTCTACGAGTCCTACTACTGCATGAGCCAGCAGCACCCGCTCATCGTCTTCCTGCTCCTCATCGTGATGGGCGCCTGCCTAGCTCTGCTCGCCGTCTTCTTCGCCTCCGGGCTGGTAAGAGACGCCCTCCCGGTCCGGGACCCGCTCCATCCCCGGGTTCCCGGGCATCCCCGCTGCCGCCGCCCGGCATCCCCTCTCCTGTCGCCCCGCTGACATCGCCGAACCCGGCACTCTCAGCCGAGGCGGACGGGACGGGGCGGCCGAGAGCCGGTGCTGCAGCTCCTGCGGCGGAAAGTTGGTGGCCGGAGGCGCCGAGGTGGCGGCGGGGGCCGGGGAGCCCCCGCCCGAACTTTGCTGCCCGATATTTAGAGGCGACGCTGGAGCAGCGGCCGCGCGGCTGATGGAGCGAAAACTGAGTCAACAAGCGCATCGAGTTTAATTCACTTAATTCCTTGGCTCCGCTCTCTTCCAACTGGCGGCTTGGCCGTGGTGGCCTTTGTAGTGGCAGGGTTTTCGTCGCCGCACAAAAATGCAGTCGGTACCTGTATCTGAAGTAATATTTTTAGTGCAAATAAGCAGGGGCTGTGCCCCTCCTTGTGCTAGCCCCCTCCATCCCCTATGATATAATTTTCTAGCGTTTGACCCATTTTCTCAAGAAAGCTTTTGGGACAGCGCAGCCTTCGTTTTTAAGGAAGGTGAAGTTTGGTTGGTCAGATGTCTTTTTTGCGTGCTCAGTGTAGGGTTTCCAGGCTTTAGGAAGAAAAATGTGTCACAGCAGCAGGTGACAGTCGGTATCAGTTTATCTCCCCTGAAATGGGTGGCGTTTTGCCCTTGCAAAGGAAAAGCTGCAGAGGGCAGTAAAATTCTTGGTCCTTTTCAGAGTTTTCCTGCTGTTAATGATTAGAGGCAGGCTGTTGGCATTACTGTATACTTCTGAAGTAAATGGGTATTTGTGTGGTCTCAGACTCTTCCCCTCCCTTAAAAAAAAAAAAAAAAGGAAAAAAAAGAATCTTTTTATGGTCTTCTGGAAAGCTGAATGTTTATTGAATAGAGCTAGTTATCTCTAAAGGCAGGGATGAGCAGGTCGGTATAATCAAATGGATTCTCCTAGAGGCACTGCAGCTAGTGTTTGCTTATCCTGCTTTCTTGCTTGACCAAACTTTTGCCTTAAAACCTGCAGGAACTGCCTGTGGGATTAGCTCAGCTTTGAGTCGATTGGTGGTTTATTTCCTTTCGGTGTTTGTATTAGTTGTATTTTAAGCTTTTTGTTCAACCACTTCTACTAAATAGAAAACAGTTGTAAAAGTGAGGCCAGTAATGGTGATGCTTCATAATTCATTTGTTTAATGTCCAAAGGTTTAAATTTTGGAGCTCTGTGTGCAAAATACAGGTTTGTTTGCTTATCTCTTTCTAGTATGTTAATGTAGGTGCTTGTCCACTAGGGCTGAAGGGACTGTTGGAAGGTGGAACTAGAAGTCTGTCAGGCAGAGATAACTGTGGAGATGTACACTGTACATGCCCACAGTCAAGGTGGCAGAATTTGGGCTTGACAGTGTTTACTACTAAATTTTGTACTTTTCAGTTGTGGTATGGTCTGCAGCTTGTTTGCAAGTTGCATGTGGTTATTTTGGTAATTTCATCTCTTGAGGTAAATCATTTGCAGTAGTGAAGGTGGCATAAAACCGGACCCAGATGGAAGGACTGCTGAAAGTTATGGAAACAAAACTGTGAGCTGGCTGAATCTTGCCAGGCGTTACTTCTTCAGAAAGAGTGAATTTAATAGTTCAGTCTGCATTTGAAATTCCAGACATACCGGATGAGGAAAAAAAATGCTTTTAAAACCCTTTTCCTGAGTCTTTATCTTCCTGTAGCTAACAACTGGATGGGTGAGTGGAGAAAGAGGTGGGCTTCATCCAAGTTTCCAGTCGACAGATGAAAGTGACTTCAGGCAGAGAGAAAGCTTGCCTATATGGGACTTCCAGCCACAGGATGCTGGACAAAATCCTTTGGAATCCTGCCCAGAATTTCACCTAAAAGCACTTTATTGTAGTCTAGTTTCTGGTTGCATTTGTGATTAAAGTATTCCTGAAGGTTTAGATCTGCTTCTCCTGTGTCTGTATGAAAGATAGATATAGAGTTGTGGACTTTTAGTCATTTTTTGTGCCTGATGATATATAAGGGACATGTGGTTAGGAGTATCTGAGCCACAAAATCTGGTATTAATATCCTTATCTTTTATCTTGCACAACTTGTACATGTGTGTTTGTTTTGACAGAAGATGTAATTTTGTAGAGAAGGCCCAGTGGAAGTAAAGTGGGATAGTTCTGTGCAGATCTGTGCTATGCATCTGAAGTTAAGGGAAATATTTCTTAACAGTTGTTTCCTTTAGATTTTGTACAAAGCAGTTAAGATTTCACTGAAAATTACTTAAGCCTGTTGTGGAGAAAAAACTCCAAAATGACTCACTATAACAGTTTGGATTTCTTGCTTGTGCTTCATAGAACAGCTTAGAACATGGAATGTGGGATTGGACATTGTTAGGATGGATATTCATGAAGTGTGAACCATTTTCATGTTCTAAACTGTCTTAAAAAAATTGGAAACCAGTGGAAGTGAGAGAATGCTTTCCTTCTATTTTAATGTTTTATTTGGTTGTTAAAATATATCACGGTGGTGTCTGAGTTGCCTATTTTTGTGTTTTTTCATGTGACAAAGTATTCTTAAGTGTTCCCAAACAAAGCCAGCCACACAGGGGATGTATTTTACTTACTCAGCTCTTTCAACCTGTCAGAATACAAGCTATAGCTTTCCTGATTTCAGATGAAAAATTTATGAAAGCTGTTGCAAAATTACTGTAAACAAGATTACTTACAAAGTGTGCCTGGAAATCAGATTACTTTTCTTTCAGACAATGTACTGTTATTATTACTGAGAGAGGTTTCTTGGGAGATTTTGCTTTTGTTTCAGAGAACTATTGTGATTTTGACCTTTGGAATTAAGCACTCTATCTCCTCAAACACTATATATAAAACTTGAGTCAGCTTGAATGATGACCATTCACAGCTTGTAATTTTAAATAATGTAGTGATAGTATCAACCTTTGAATTTCCTATGTCAGAGTATCCTCTGTATTTCTCTACCTGGCGTGAACTGCAAGCTGGCAAAATGCGATCAGTCATCCATGTTTAGCTGCTGCTTTAATCGATACAGAGTAAATTATTTTCCCAAACCTGTGAAAACCTTTCAGAACTTAAAAATGCCAGAGGTCAGCTTCATTTTCTCTCTGACTATTGTGTTATTCTTTCAATGTAAAATGTATGAAAAACTCATTATTCGCCCATCTCTCCCTTTTTAGTACTAAAAGCTTTTGACCATTTTTAGTGGTATCTAGAACGGTTTTGTCTCTGGCAGGAGCATGTCTGTTATAACTGCAATTTGCAGGAGATTGAAATATAGAGCTGTTTTTAAATTCATAGTGTAAAATATGACAGTACCTGAAATATCTGAAATTGTGATTAATTTCTTACATGATTAAACAAAAACTCTGAAGACAGGGGTGATGCCCAAATTGTACAATTTATTGGAAGACCATAACTTTCCTTTAACCATGCATTTTTCTAGACTTAAAGAGTGCCTAGTCCATAGATAAAGGCCTCAAAAAGAACCTACACTTCAGGGATATCAAAATCTTTTAGCACTTGTGTTGTAAGTGGGGGAAGATTTAAACCTGTTGTGATCTCCTTTCTGTTCCTATTCTGAAAACTTACGGTTCACCAGTCTGCTACCAGATACATGTTTTCTTTTAGGCTGGCCTGTTTCGCTTGCTCAGGACCTGTAAGCCTGCTGTGTGGTGTTAACATTAGCTGCAGCCCTTATCTCCCCACCAAATTCTCGCTGCCACCTGTGACCTTGTAAAGCTCTTAAGATGTGGTTGCTGTGTGTAGGCTCTGGTGTGTCGGTGCGTGTTTATTGAGGGTGCCCTCAGCCAACTGGGGCATGTGTTGACTGCAATGTGGCATGGTGTAGCCTTCCCTCTTCCAAAGCACTCTGAGATTGTTCTGGGTCAGCCACCTAAGGACTGTCTGAGGAGCAGAGGAATTAGTTGCCCCCTCAGTCACTTTCTTGAAGTTCCTGAAAAGCTCAGGATCGTGCTGGTAGGCTCATTATAGATTTGTGGACATTTTTATGGATTTATAAATTCAAGAAACTAAAGGTTGTCTGCACATCTATTTTAGTGACATAACCAAATACCTTCTGTAGCAAAAAGGGGAGCAGTCAGTGGTTCTTAAAGAGGGAATACAGCTAGGTCGATGTACCTGCATCATGGTAGATGTACATTCTGCAGGAATTGGTTTTCTGGCATTAAACTGACTGAACCTACCATCAGCTGATCCTGCATGGAAGAAGAAGTAGCTGCCTCATTCTTCTGAAAGAGTATGTGAAAACTTTCTGTCTGCCAACCTGGTTGGCAGATAACTCTTTCTGTGCAAGGGGAAGATCAGGAGAGTCCTGTAATCCTCTTGGGGTTTGAACTGAGGTGTGCCATTTCTTCCCTCTAATTTGTGTTACTCCTGAAATAAATTCTTGCTGTTTCTGGTAAGAGCTGGACATCAGCCAAGCCCTTCCAGATTCCCATGATCAGAATCTCATCTTGAAATGAAGGGGAAAAAGTCTTCCAGGTCCATGTGGAATGAGTAGTTTTAGCATGTTTCATCATTCTCTAAAAGCATCTGATGTGTACCTCTGGTATTGTTCTAATCTCATCAGTTTGCCTCTGAAAAATTCATCCATCCACACCAAAAGGTCACCACACTGACGACGTGATTTTGTATCTGTATTCTTGAGATGCTCTGTTATAACCTAATTGCATGGAATAATACAGGCATACTATAAGACCATTTATACTCTCAATTTTAGGATATCTTTTGAGATCAACCCTATGTAATTTACAGCTTTTTTTAGTTTAAGAGCACCAACTGTTTTCCCAAAGCCCAAGAATACCCAAGGTCTGAAAACGTTCCTTGGAATCCTTGCAGACTGAAAGTAAGCCAAAGCATCTGTTAACAGTGTTTTCAAACTCCAGTATATTCATTCCCCCAAGAAGAAAGCTAAAT